ATTCTCAAAACAAGTTATTAGCAATATTTTTTAATAAGGACAGTTCTCTATAAATGCCTTGCTGCTTTTTGCTTTCCTGCTTGTTGGAAATCCACTTCTGTAGTTCCAGTCTTTAAGAACTTGTGTGAACTGTTTGATCTATCTATTTGCCTATAAGCCTTCTACCTCTTTTTGGCAAAGTACTAGAAGCTTTAATTTTGTATTAGTTAAATATCTCACCATACAGGGTCTTCTTTCAGATAAGCAATATGACTTGTTTCTCTAGGTCAACTGCTGATGTATTAATGATTATTGCTGAAAGAATCTATCAAGCTTTAGATAAGAAGCTCAGGCTGTTGATTTGCATATCCTGAAGGCATTTGACAAAGGTTTGGCATACTGGTCTTCGTCACAAGTTGAAAGGTCATGGTATTTTTGAACTGATTCAGTCTTTCTTATCAAATTGCAAAATTGAAGTTATCTTGAATGGCCACTCTTCTAGATCTTTTTTGTATTAATGCAGGCATTCCCTATGGCTCTATCCTTGGATCTAAGTTGACCTTCCTGATGTCATCTATTCTCAGCTCAGTATTTATGCTGATTACAACTATTTATTTCTATCTTAATACCAAGTGATTGGTTTGATAAGGTCAAATTGTCAACTAATCTAAAAACGACTTAAAATCTGTTAAAAGGGGCAAGGAGTGGATCATTAATTTTAACGCCTGCAAAATGAAACTGTTCTCTTTTAATCATCTGCGAGAACCTTTTTCACTTTCCATCAGCATGGTTAATGCTAACCTCTAGGAGAGGGACTCATTGCATTGTCTCAGACTAACATTTTCCGCCGACATGATGTGGAAAGAATATATCGAATTAAATCTGCAGCTCTGAAAGTTGGTTCATTATGTCAAGCTAGACCATTTCTCTTGCCAGAATCTATCTTACATATTTATAAATCTATCATTCATCCTTGCTTAGAATATTGCTGCCACATCTGGTTTGGTGCTCCTGTTATATATTTAGAGATTCTTGATAAAATCTAAAAAAGAATCTGCAATGTTATTGGTCCTGACTTGGCATCTCGGCTTCAGTCCTTCTCCCACCTTAATGAAGCTTCCTTGTGCTTTTTCTATAAATACTTTCATGGTAATTGTTCTTATGAGCTTTCCTTTTTGGTACCTAGACTTTATGAAGTTAAGCACAGTATTAGATTGGTGGCAAGGTCTCCATTTTACACTTGAAATGGCAAAAGAGGGAACTACAACTTCTATGCTAACATTTCCTTCTATTGCACTGTTCATTCATGAAATTCTTCTGGCTTCTTTTGCTTCCCAGTCAACTTTGGTCTTCAAAAATTTAAATGCAATGTTAATCATTATCTTTTATCTTTTTAAATCTTGTTCTTTTATTGTCCTCTCTAATAGTATATTTTTCTCATATTCTCTAATACTCGGTAACCCCTTCTAGTGACTTTATTGCCTTGCTTGGGTTGAAATGATTAAAAAAAATAAAGTAAACTGAAAATCACAAAATATTCCTCATCAATATATCCTGAACATTGTACCAATATTGGATGTTTATTACCAATTGTGAAAACAACATTGTATACCAGCATGGGCATAAAAAAAATCAAGACTGCATGAGGACTGTCAGTTTCATGACTTAAGTGATCATCAGATATTATTTACAAATGTGCTAGCCATGATACGGAGTGCTCTTTCCCATGAATATGTCATCAAGTGCCATATGTGATACACACTTAAATGATTAATGAGTGTCTAGGCAGAAGATTTCCCACAGTAGACTGGTTGCCCACCAAGGCTATAAGGACCAGTCTGCTATTTAACCCATAGCTGGAGGAGAATAGATGGATTCATTTCTTTCCCAAGGGTATTTGCACATGTAATGTACCTGACAGGAATTTGAAACCCGATCTGATTTCTCATTCTAAGCAGTTATTCATTATACCACCCACCTACACACTTCACAAATATAAAATATAGCAAAGTTTAAACTATATTTATATATCTCACACACCCAAGAGTGATAAAAAAAAGTTCTTGGCCAAACCAAGAACTCATTAGAGAAAAAAAATTGTAATGTTTGATGATCTGCTCAGATTTTAAGACATGGATTGGACAAATGACGTTTTTTTTTATACCACCCTATGGTATAAACAGACATACAAGCACACTCAAGTATTTCTTTTAATTTCATCAGCTTTTTAGTGCAATTACTCACACTGATTTTACACATCTATTATTGAACTGTGCAAATTAGAAATAAAATTTTATCTTTAGATAAGCTTCAAACTTTCACCCACCCCACTTCCAGAAGTCTGTCTTTGTTTGGCAATAGCCAAATGGCTAAAGTTCAACTCTAATTGCATAATCTCATTCTTCATTACCTCCCACTAAACACCTGGCAACTACCATATTTAACATTTGTTTACATACATTAGTAGTATTAGTCATAATATCTTGTCAATAATTTAGTAATTGAATGACAAAATAAAAAAAAAAATTCTATGTAATACTCTGTCATCTAAAAAGACTTCAAACTAAATTAACAGTCTTCTTGATGGAATTATATATATGTATGTGGAGGGTGGAATATAATCAAAGTTAGGCTATAATTAACACTGCAATAGAATTTCCATGCATATTTTAGAATTGCAGAACTTACAAGGAGCTTATTCAATCATTAACTTAATATTTATGATTCATCAGAAAATTGAAATAGGAAAACCTGTTAAATTTTTTAACAGCATTTCAAACAGAACTTATATGTAGAAGGTTACAGTTATTTAGGTTAATTTGTTATCAAAACCTCACATTTTTAATATGCCATGCTTCTTCAAAACCCATACACAGTTCTCATGTGGCCATTGGTTTAAAAACCTCTTGCCACGATTCTTAAGGTGGATTTTTACTAGCTATACCACTATTTCCTTAACTAATTATCTCACTTTCTCAGGGCTTTTAGTTCAGAATGGCAAATTCCTATTTATCTAATGTTGCTATATAGGTGTTTCACATCAACATATTTAATTCTGGAGTCATCAGGAGACAAGCAAGTCAAATAGATAATGTTTATGTACTTATCAACTACTGGTAATCTTTATCTTGTACAAGATGCAGTGTGACTTTTGGAGGAATCTTTGAGGAAGGAGTACACCTTATATAGACAAAATCCAAAAATACAAAGACTCAAAGTTTTATTTACTAATGATATTTCCAAGATGTCAATACATTCAAATGAGAATTAGCATTTAAATCAAAAGCATCTAGGAGTTAAAAAGTGTATATATTTGAATGCTGAAAAACACAAATTAACTCTAAGAACTGTTGTGCTTATTTAAAAGCAGCAAATAAGTCATGTGTTAGTTAATCATAAAATGTTAGCTAATTGGAACATCATTAATTACTTTGTGTTAATTAACAAAGACCATTCAGAGAAAAAAATAGAGGAAAATAAAAACTTTGGCTTCCATCAGTGACTTTTACTGAAAACATGTTAAAAAAAAAAAAAAAAAAAGAGAGAGAGAGAATAACTGGATAACAAAACAAGTAAATAAACATTTTTTTAGAAAATATTCCACAATCCTATATTCCTCACTTCTGTTACAAACTCCACTTCCTTTTCTGATCCAGGCTAAATTTAAAGGTTTTTAAAAACTGATTTGTATTTTTAAAATCCAGTCTTTATCTCTTCTCCCCTCAGCTATAGATTAAACAACAGTGAAAATTGGGCTCTTTAGCCTTTGATGGTAACTAGCATAGGAGAATATTTTGAATTCAAAAACACTGAGAATGTAACAAGAAACAACTATTTTCCTCAAGAAGTTATTGCAATCCACAGATAAAGAAAAAGGTGTCTCTGGGAAGCTGTGATCATCTTCTGTCTTAAAGGGACAAATCTTAAAACTAATATCTTGAAATGAAAAGGTTATTTAAAATCTTTGAGTGAGAGAGCAACTATTTATAAAAGATGATCAAATAAAATAATGCTATTATGACAAAGAAAAGCAGAAGTAATATGGATTCATACGAGGGTTAGCTGAAAAGTCCATAGGCTGACCAAGATATAAATGCAAGTAGACATACAAAAGTTGACCAACTAGCTGCTGTATTCTGGTACACTTGCATGACTTTTAGTTTACCAACTGGTGTGTCTACTTATATTTACATCTTGGTCAGCCTATGAACGTTTAAGCTGATCCTTGTATTTCTTAAAATGAAGAAATTGTGCTCATTTATTGAGGTCTTCAAAATGGCTGTTAGATACTTAAATAGAGCCATTGCCTGTAAGAGATCAGAATGATATCACTGATTTTCACTTGAATATTTTTAAAAACATAACACATTAAATCTGATCAACTTTTTACAAAGACTTTAATAAACAAGACATTCTGGTTTTGAAGGTGTCTTGATTTTGAATAATCAACATCACTTCTATTTGCAATGTTCCTTCAGGACATTGGCAATCATGGCTTTCCACAATTTCCTATCCTTTGTAGCTCTTAATAAATCTTGTTTTTAATGTTATCTCTCCTAAAGCTTGCTCCATCATACAAGCATTGTTATAAGTGTCCTTTTCGTTTTCATTCTCTCCAGAACATTGTTGTTGCTCACATGTTTTGTCCATAGTATTCTCAGCATTCACTGTCATATAGGAGGATTGATATTACATCACAGTTTAGTACATTTTTCTTTGTTTCTAACAAAATTTTCCGGTTCCCTAATACTTTGCTTAGCATTTGGAAGGTGTCTTTTCATTTTCCTAATGTGCCTCCAGTTTTCAGTGTCGTACTTATTGTCACTTCTCAGATATTTAAATTGTCCTGGTTTCATTTAGTATCTCCACTTTGTAATTTGCATGTTGGGATGTTCCATTATCTTGTACATGCAAGAAATGTTTAAGAAATGTTTTCATAGAAACAAAACTAGAAATATAAAATGATATAATTCAAGAGCAGAAAATCTAATACTCAGTATCTGGCATGCATATTTAAAAACCAAAGAAATACAAGGAAAAAAACAACAGTATAAAAGAGAAAAAGAAGGAAAAAGAGAAAAAGAAGGAAAAAGAGAAAAAGAAGGAAAAAAGGAAAAAGAAGGAAAATAAAAAGAAATTGGGGTTCATTAATCATAACTGATAAATGACTTCAAAATGTCTTATACTAAAATTGTATCTTTGAATTCCAACAGACTAAAAAAAAAAAAAATAAAAAAAAAAAAATTGACTTTACTGAAGGACTTGTTTACTTTTAAAGAGTAAATAAAATAGGGGTAAAATAACATTTGGCTTGGCATAAGGTCATTTAGAAAGCTTGATAACCTTTTGAAAAAAGGAGGAACTCTAATAATAAATAGTAGAATTTGCAAAGAAATGAATTCAATAAATTGAAATTTCAGATCAATCTTTACAAAGATAAATCTCATAGTTACAGTCTGCATTTAAATAATAAAGACAATTCTGAATTCAATATTTTTAGAAGGTTTTTCTATTTCATTTTTATCATATTCCCAACCAAGGTTGCCAAATTGTGCTACAAACAAGCAATGAATTAGGTGACATTTGAATGCCTGCTTGCAAATTCAGAATTTATTTCCTCTCCTTAGCAACCCAACTTAACCTTGTTTATTGTAAATGTCAAACAAAAAAAATTAGCAAAACCCGAAATTTAGTAACATTGGCCTTCCAAAAGTAGCCCTGTCTGGCAACCCAACAAAGTTACCTGATAATCAGAAGGGATTTAGGTAAAATTTATTACAACACATTTCTTGGAACAGATGAAGTTAACCATTCACTATTTTGCATCCAAGAAATAGAAAATATAATTTAAGCAGAACTTGAATTCTGCAATTTAAATTAATCCCATCATAAACTTAATCATAAGGAAAACTGTTTTTAAATGTTTATTAAATAGTGTATACTTCAATTACATATAAAGTAAATGATTACTATTTAATGTATGATATTGAAGCAATATTAGTATTTATTATTTTTTAATAACTGATCTTTGATATTTACAAGACGATTCTTCACGAGTCGCAAAGACTCTGCAGATTATCATTGACAATAGTCCAATACTATGTTTTTATGGAATTATTTTTTGTACCTCTCACCAAAATATGTTGTGATTATTATCACAAGAGTCTTTATTTTTTTTTCAAATATTTTATCTTTGTTGTTGCCTTTGACTTGTTCAATACATTCACACTTAAAGAGTGTAAACAACTGTTTATTTAAGCAGAACATAATGGTTGCACAAACTAACAAAGAGAGGGACAAGCACAACTGGATTCTTTAGTCCTGACAAAATAGTTACATAAATGTTTGCCTTTTAAGGAATATTTCTTTAGTAGCTACTACTACAGCCGTTTCATAATTGTTATTTATATGCAAAAGTAACAATTATAGGATAGATGAAATATCATTTTCTAGTGATAGCAATAAGTTGATAAACTTGTTTTGTCTTAATTCATTTGATGAGTGCCAGTTGGCTATCAGTAATCCAGACCTGTCATGGTTTGCTACTGCATCTGCCATTTTTTAGCACTTTCAAACACTGGCAAGGCATTTCTCATTGTCTTTTATTCATTTTTCTTACAACCTGCTGAAATTTTATAGAAAAGGAAAAAAAGACAAAGATTAGCATGTGTGTAATGTGAGTGTCGGAATTAGGCAGAAATCCCTAATAGAGGTGTCTTTGTGCTTCTTACTTAATGACAAACTGGAACAGAATCTGTCAGACAATATGCTATTGGATCTCTGTAGCTGGCTTGCAAAAAGTGCTCAATTCATAATCATTTGTGTTGTGTTGGTCTGTGGTTTGAAATATGAACACAGTAGTTTGGTTCGTGTTGGTTGGCGGTTCTAATTGTCAGGCCATTTTGATAGAGATTTACAGTTGTTATTAACATGTTTAATCCCTGTCATGGATTCAATGAATATAGGAAGTGCTCCTCAGGATATGAAAGGCAAACATCATATGTGGTCCATAACAAAAAAAAGTTTTTTTTATTAAATTTTTATTGAATACATGTACTGATTTAAAGGTAGCATGAAGTCATTAGCTTTTAATGTATCCAAAAATAAACTGGCAAAAATCACTTCTCTGGTAACTACAGGACCCAATGATATTGGATTAATGACAATAAACTTGTATGTTGTTATTTCTTGGTTCAATTATTTATTAAGTAGTTTTAACCTATGAAAATTTCAGTTTTCCTATTTGAATTTTCTGATGAATCTTTAAAGTTAATGATTGAGTAAGATCATGGCAAGTTCTATAATATCTGTAGAAATTCCACTATTGCATCATTAAATATTTCAATAACAATCATAAATATGAATAGTGATCATTATTTTAAGAAGTGGATACAAATGAGAAGATTTGAAATTGACAACTTTTTCCATTTCACTGAAACAGCTGTTAAATCTTCCCTCCTTTCTTTCTTTTTCTTGGTGAAACCAAGTAGTGCCTTTTCCCCCTGTTCCATTTGATCAAAATGGAAAATTTCATTATTTATGAGGTATTGGCAGGACATAATGGTTGTGCAAACTAACAAAGAGAGGGACAAGCACAATTGGATTCTTTAGTCCTGACAAAATAGCTACAGTTTGGTAACATCCCTTTTTTCGCTCTCTTTTTTCAAAAGAGTACTAAAAATAGAAGCAAATAAAAAGTTATTGTCTTTGAAGGAAATCTGTTTTTGTCTTGGTTAACAACTGAGCCTGAAAGTAAGTTGTTTATTTTCAAAGCAGAAATGGTGGGGGGGGCAGTGCTTGAGGTGGAAATAGGTGAAGCCAATGATCCACTTTGTTGGAGAGTCAACATGCGAAATGCACTGAAATGGGAGCAGCAGCTGCAGGAGGAGAAGAGCAGCCAATGCCACAATAGAGTAAAACATTTACAGCTTCAACAATTGTTTTAAAAACAGGCTCAACAAATAGCTCAAGATTTAGAGGTTGTTAGGACAGAGGTAACTACTTCTAGGTTTCAACTGCCAGTATGCAGATAAGTACAAACACGGGTCAGTAAAATAGTGTTAGGTGATAGCTCAGTTACTAGTAGAGTATTAGTGGTCACTAGGTGATTACTCAATCCACAGTGCCAAAAAGGAGAAAAGAAAAAACCTATTAATATCTACTATGTATTTTCTTTCTATCATTGCAGAAATAAAATAGAGAAAGAAGCAGAGATGTTAGCAAATAAAAATAGGAAGCAAACTGAAAGGAATAAAGAAATGAAGTAATAAGTGGGAGAGAGAAGAGAAAAAAGAGACAGTGTATGTAGATGCTTGAAAGCTAAAAGGAAAAATGAAGAGAGAGAAAAAAGATAAAACAGAACAGAAAATTTTTAAATTTTTATTATATATATATATATATATATATATATATATATATATATATATATATATATATATATATATATAGATAGAGAGAGAGAGAGAGAATGAGAGAAAAAAAAAAGAAATAAAGAAATGCACATACAGTGAAAGAGAAAACAAATGAGAAAAAAAAAAAAAAAAAAAAAAGATGCTTAAATAGATTAAAATTAATTAAGAGAAAAAGACAAAAGCTCCCCAAAAGTAGGGAGGAGAGAGAGAGAGAAGCTAAGAGTAAGAAGCATGTTAAACTCATATATCATACATGTACATATGAAAGAGAGAAACCCCGAGAGAGAGAGAGAGAGAGAGAGAGAGAGAGAGGCCAAGAATACAAATGAAAAAAAAAACAAAAAAACAGAGGGCAGTAAAAAACAAAAAAACAGAGGGCAGTAAAAAAAAAAAATTTAGCAATGTGTCTCTTTAATAAGTAAAGAAAAAGTTGCCCAAACAGAATTAAGTTACTAATAGACACACTAAATTGAGCTGAACCTTCTCAAAAAATGAAGAATGTATATTTAGAGTTTTCAAAGGTGAGTTTGTACCCAAATGCCAAAGGTAATATTTACCAGCAGAAACAGGACAAAACAAAAAAAAACAAAAAAAAACCAAAAAAAAAAACCAAACCACCATTTACCTTAAATCAACAAAGCCAACATAATACAGGCATCTAATTATATTTCAAGACTTGCAACTTTCCTTTCAATCTGTAAGTTTCACAAAAGATAACCTCACAAAAGCAGAACCATTAGTGTGTGTGTGTGTGTGTCTGTAAAAATTCAGATGTATCTAAAAATATATCTGTAAAAAGACAATAAAGACAAAAGGAAAACTTAGCTGATAAGTTTCATCCTCTGGTAGACTGTCAAGATAAATGTAAGGATTTTTAATTTGCAACAAACATTTATAGACAGAAGTAAAAATATTAAATTTAACAATGCCGAAAAACTAAGAAAACTCAAATAAAACTTCAGGCTAACTCAAAGATCAATCTTGACTGGAAGGCAAGAAACCAGAAGAGAGTTCCAGAAAGAAGAAAAAAATAATTGTTGTTCGCACAGACCTTATTGTTAGATCTAGCCATTCGAATTGCAAAATGATGAGACCTAGTTGCCAATCTAGAACTGTGCTTAAATTCATAAAGTCTAGGTATCCATCAGATTAATTATCATGAAAATATTTATAAAAAAGACACAGGGAAGTTTATTAAAACTGTCTTTGAATGAAATTTTATGTTGAAATAAAAACAAAATGTTCTGATTATCATGAAATGATTCAAGTCCAGATGTGTACAAGATAAATTCAAAATATGTTTATCAGATTATGAAAATATCAAAAATCATCTCAGGGGACATGCACTATAAAAAGGCAGATTTTATAATTATTCAAATTCATTTCCTTTAACAAATGAGAGTGAATAAAAGGTTGTGTTTCTTAGCTTTAAACTTGAAACCAAAAGATCTAATGTCCTCACCACAACTAATTTAAATGTTCTCAATAGTCATGTTGAATGTTAAAAAGATTATCAGGTAAATTAAAAATATTGTAAACAAAAGAATCTTAAATAAACCTTATTTTTTTGCAATACTAAAAAAAAAATAAAAGTAAAATCATTGTTCTACTTTTCATTTCTAATAAAATTTTAACTGAAGACAAATGATGAGACAAAAAAAAAAAAAAAAAAAAAAATGACCTGACACTATAACTAAAAGGCAAAACAATAACATATTTAAAGGCTTCAATGATCCTCACTTATCCTGAGGACATTTTTGGAAGAATCAAGGTCATGCAATCCAGATTTTTTAGAAGGAAATAATTGAAGACATGATAAATAATTACTTCATGAAATATTCCCCAAACTCCCCTCTTTACTTTTACTCTCTGTAACCTCATGCATGCTAGTGACACTCCCACCTTGCTTGGGGTGAAATGCTTAAAAAAATAAATATTGAAAACTGTTGTAGTTTCATGGGTGATCGGGTCATTAATAACGTTTACTTGGATTGTCATCATTCACAACAAAATATTTAGACTGTTCATAATTCAACTATATTACTTTGACAATGTGTTCTTATATGGAGAAAATACCTTTTTCAAGAATTTTCAAACTAAAAGTAATAAATAGGACTGTAAAATATAACAAGGCAAAGAAATGAATATTTATAAAATTTACTTAACCTGAGCTAAGCCATATCATCTGATAATGAAAGATTATGTAGGTCTATTTTTTTTGACCCCCATTAAGAGAGCAACTCTTAAAACATTGATAGCATTTTGATTAGTTTTTCAATGGTTGTATTGTATCTCATCTGTTATATGAAAAGTTTATATTGTTTAAAAGAACACGGCTTTAAATCTGTATATCTGCTGGTCTGTAACAGTGAGGATTATTTTGGTTTAACTAAATGGCATTCTATTGACAGCATTTTAGAAGAAGCTGATAAGCAGGAGATTACCCATTACAAGACAATGCCATAGATGACTGAAGGTGTGAAGATGAATTGCAAATCAAAAGGAGAGAAAGAAAAGTTAAACAAAGCAGGGAGGGGGAGGTGGAAGAAAGAAAGAACTGAACCTTCAGATATTACAAGAAAGGAGGAAGCTAAATAAAAGAGCTTAAGAAAAGGAAAATAAAGAATCCAGAAGAGTATATGAGAGAAAGAAAGAGAGAGAGAGAGAAAGAGAGAGAGAGAAAAAGAGAGAGAGAGAGAGAGAGAAAGAGAGAGGAGGAGAGAGAAAGAGAGAGGAGGAGAGAGAAAGAGAGAGAGGAGAGAGAAAGAGAGAGGAGGAGAGAGAAAGAGAGAGAAAGAGAGAGGAGGAGAGAGAAAGAGAAGCAATGAAGATAAACAAAAGGAGATGAAAAATAAAATTGGGAAATTGACCATCTTATGCACTCAGACAGGAAGGGAGACAGACTGAAAGGTCAACAAAGGAAAATCTATTCATCAATGTGTGGGTTCCTTTAACCAGTCACCATCTCCCTGATAATAAACAGAAAACAATAGACAACAGGTTATCAAGCATAAGGTGCTTTCATCCGACATTCCTTCATCACATCAAGAATGTTTTTAAGCCTTCCTATTTTGATATCTAACCAATTATAAAAATAAACTACAGCTATTTTGTAAAATTATACTTAGTGTATCTTTTATAAAAAAAAGATAAAACAATAATTTTTTTTTTTTAAAAAAAACAATAACTTGCATTCATTTTAGAATATAGAATTATTTAAACATTTAAAGACTCAAGAAAGCATTCTGGGTGCATTTTGAGACTCAAGAAAGCTTCTGGGATCCATTTGAACAAAATTGACTACATGAAAATAGAGCGATTACAAAATTGTCACATTGCTGCGATTTGTAAATTGTCTATAATAACATAGTGGTGATTTATTAACCAATGAATGCTTGGCGTATGTGATTTGTATTTGTGTATGCATGTATGTGTGTGTGTGTGTGTGTGTGTGTGTGTGTGTGTGTGTATGCGTGATATAGATCGGCACAATTTCATATCTTGCCCAAGGATATTTATACATAAGTGAATATAATGAACCTGATGGGAATTGGAACTGTGCTCTCTGCTTTCCAATCCTGAGCTATTATCCACTACATCACCTGTACATCCAAGCTTACGGTGCTTGGTATTCCCAAGTGGTCATCTATCTAGGTACAGACCAGGCTAAACATTGTTTCACTTTGGTGATTATATGAGAACTGGTGTTGCAATATGGCCACAAGCCCATAATAGAGAGACCAGTGGTTCTCAGACTGCTAAGTCGCATTTGCTCCCCTTGGGTTCTCAGAGTGCTAGGTCAGGTTCTTTCTATAGCCATATCAAATTTTCTCAATTCCTGATTTTCAACATTATACTGATGACATACACATGTGACTCTCCAATGTGTCAATCTCTGATATAAGGTCGATGTTGAAACAAAAGAGAAAACAAATTTTAAATAAGAATTACAAAATTTAGTATTAATAAATTTCACTTTTAACTACTAATATTATTTTACTGATTTTCATTAATATTCCTGTGAATGACCAATTATAGTTAACTTCATTAGTTTATCATATTTTATAGGGCGGTATTAAAACTAATTTAGAAACCAAATTGAAGTATTCTATAAAGCGATGATTAATATTTCCATTTTATTTATAATTATTTTTATAAATGTTTATACTTATCTTAATACTCTCTTCTTGACCTCTGTTGAAATCTATTAAAAAATGTCCTGCCTATCTGTAAAACTAGTTCTGTAATATACCAATTTATATGTCAGTATGAAGCTGATTACATAAATAGGAACACTCATCTGCTAGAGAAGACAATTGCTCAATATGTCTTGGTGTATTAGAAAGCATCAACTAAATAATTTGAATAAGTGTGCCATCACATTAGAGTCAGCAGTTGCAGAACACCTTATTAAAAAAAAAAATTAAGAGTGCATTGTCCTTTGAAAAGAATATTTCTCAGTGTTGAGATCAAACTCCAACTATCATTTAAAAGTCCTTGAAATTGTTTTTTATTAAATCAAAACAAACTTTTTTATATGAACAGAAGAAATGGTTGTTAGGACAGAATGTGATTTGTTTATAAAAATATACCTGTCTCACTATATTACTAATATACGGCCATTTTCTTTTTCAGGTTTCCTGTTTAGTCAGTATGTTGAAATTGATGTATGAAAACCAGTTAGCTTATTCAATTTTTTCTCATTTTTTTTTTCTTTTGATTCTTGCTCCAGTTGTTGATTCATGAAATTCAGGGATCAAACTTGCCATCCAGTTTCACTGGTACCAAAATAGGTTGTGCTGAAAATGAATGATTGCAGCAGGCTCTTTAACACACTGACAGTTACCAATATACTAACACCCACCTAATGCAATCCTATTACAAACTTAAAGCACACTCTGTACAAGTTTTCTACTGTCGGGACCCACAAACCAACCCAGCAACTATCCTTTTAGTTATCATCTGCTAAATCAAAATAAAACCTTGTTTCATCTCGGGTGGCTGTCAGATATTGCCTAATGCTATTTGGCTACGCCCACCGCCTGTTGCACACCAAACACTTCTTTGCTACAGAGTCATTACAAATTCTTTTGTGAGGTGTAAGACAAAACATACTCTTTCTACTACTTTTGAAATTAGTATTATAAATCATTTAAATTTACATTATATTCATCATATCTAATCACATGCTAAATGTATTACATAAATCTGACTTAATTCCTTTTTTAATATTTACTGTGTCAGAATATATATGTAATCATTTGAACAAATGAAAGTTTGACGTATTTAATAAATCCTTTCATGATATTGCAGATTAAAAATAGTAAATTATATAACAAAAGATAATTAACAACAAAGGTGCAAAAAATTGAAATGAACAAAGATTCCTCCTGACTGTTATCTGCAGTTTTACTCTCCATGGTTACAACAACCAGTAGTCAACCCTATAAACAAACAATTCATATGTTTTACTCTCCATAATGTCAAAGTCTAAGAATGCTGACATGTTGTATATGGCAAAGAGAAGTGTTTCCTTTAAGTGAAAGTTCTTGACTTTAGAAAGAAAGAAAACATACGTTATGTTGAAGCTGTTAAGACAGAAGATTTGTTCTTATCCTAAACAAGAACAAATCTTCTAAATAAAATTTGTGCTATTTTTTTATTATTATTTTTAGTTGGTTTCTTCTGGCTCGTAATAAATTTCCTTAATCCATTTCCTTCTGCCTACAGTCAAACAATCTAATAACATGTCTCCTGTTCACTACCAACCTCACACTTGTCTCTGTCACCTCTTTAATCTTTAGCACACTAAATTCTTTCTAGAATTGTTCCCACTGCCACTGCATTTTTTTTAGGGTGCAAAAACATGAACACCTACTGTTTTAAAACTGTTATAACTTTCTTTGTATTGCATATATAGATTTTATTTTATTTTTTATACTAATAAAAGAATAGATGAGTAATATTTTGATGTAATGCATTATGTCTTGCATGCATGTTTCAACATTGAAAACAAAAAAATTAAAACAAAATAAAAAACGTGATTTTCTGATTAATAAGTGATGTGCTAACTGAATAAAGTTGAAATCAGTGATGTTCTAATTGTTATAGCCTGAAAGTTTGAGAAAAAGAAAGAAAACAAAAAAGTGATTGAATGAGCAAGTGAGTGTGTTTATCCTTGCAAATTCTGTGTGTGGTACAAGGCCTCAACCATACAAGGCAATTCTTGTCAATCAATTTTAGAACTTGATGCTAAAAAACTCAACATTTGAGAAATTGTGTTGGGGATGATGTAAATAAATATGTCGAAATATTAAGTTTTAATTTCACTTAAACATTTTCCGGTGTTTATTATTTTTAAATTGTTAAACTACAAAGTAACTTGAAACACGCCACTGAAAAAATTAACATGGGCTTAACCTTTACTTTTATCCAACACAAGAATGCAGTATTTTTTCGACATTTTGAAATGTGCTTTTAGTAAAATTCTTGATAATGAAAATTTTAGAATAGTAGAACAAGATTATTACTTGTTCCTAAAAAAGGGATAAAATATTTTAAAAAGAAGAAATTATTCTATATCTTATCTACAATGATATTATGTGATTATCAACCTTTAAAGCAGAAATACAATTTAAACTGACATTTATAGAAGATTGGGCAAGTACAAAAGTAAAGTAAACCATGTTTGCTGATTTTCACATTGGCATAATTTTTTAAACAATAAAAACATTCTTCAAGTTTGAAAAAAGAAGCAAGCATTGTTATTAAGAAAATTAGGATTGAGTAATTTTGTACTTACAGGAAGGTGAGTGTGGTTGGAGCCAAGAGGAGCACAGGGTGGTAGGGTTTTTCCCACTGAACAATTGAGTTGATTCGAATAAGAGCCGCACGCCATCCTTCGAGGTTCTTCATAACTTCATTAAGACTGTTATCAGGCTGGTAATTAAAAAAATAAAATAGTAATAATACTTTCATACACCCATTAAATAAAAATTATTTATAGATTTTATTATTTTCTTGTTCCAGAGTCTTAATGCTATTTTATATACAAAAGCTGTGATGGAAATCTTTAACATTTTTTCATTTTTTTCTAACCAAGACCTTCACTTAAATTGCAATTGTCTTCAGAAATCAGCACAATAATGTAGAATATTTAAGCAGCAGTTATAAAAAATAAGATATATCAGTCTTCCTGATTTTTATAAGTAGAGACTGAAATTTCACGTTAAATGCCATGAATACCTTCTCGTAGATATTTCCAGCACAAAAGTGAAAAACACTAATATTCAGAGCCACAAACCGTATACAACTTTTGCCAATGGAATGGCAACATACCATGTGACTAGTGAAGATGACTAACTATGCTAGTTAAGTATAGTCAAAGAACATATGCTTTTACCAAAGAGGAAAAAGAAAAAAAAAAAAAAAAAAAAACCTGTTTTTAAAGACTGGCCATAAATCAGGGAATTATCTGATTGAAATGAAATTTTCAGCACTTATTCATTAATGAATGCATTTTAGATTGAACAGGAGAAAATGTTGTGGAAATATTTTTGGTTAATTACACAACGGCTTTAATTACTTTGTGAAGACTTTAATTTGGTGGTGAGATGGCTTTCAAAAACTTTTATAAAGAAAAATCCTTGATGTTATTTGAGTAAAAAAGAAAAAAAATTCATACAATATCAACTGAACATTTTCAAAATTTTTTCCAAATCCTTTAGAATAAAAACAAAAAAAAAAATTCTGTGGGGAGTTGGTGCTTGCAGATTAGGGAAACTCAACGTCAGAGAACTATAAAATCATTGTGTATTTATGTGGTCACTGGATGTGTTTCATTGATTGAATACCTGATGCCCCAGCTTGGTCT